GTTACCACGCCTTGCGATGGATGTGCGTGAAGGGTGGCACCGAATTTCAGAAATGTGGCAAATCCCCTGTGTTTTTGGACCCTCACCCCGCGGATCTGCGTGAGGGGTGGCACCGAATTTCAGAAATGTTGCAAATCCCTGTGTTTTTGGACCCTGACCCCGCGGATCTGCGTGAGGGGTGGCACCGAATTTCAGAAATGTGGCAAATCCCCTATGTTTTTGGACCCTGACCCCGCGGATCTGCGTGAGGGGTGGCACCGAATTTCAGAAATGTGGCAAATCCCTGTGTTTTTGGACCCTGACCCCGCGGATCTGCGTGAGGGGTGGCACCGAATTTCAGAAATGTGGCAAATCCCTGTGTTTTTGGACCCTGACCCCGCGGATCTGCGTGAGGGGTGGCACCGAATTTCAGAAATGTGGCAAATCCCTGTGTTTTTGGACCCTGACCCCGCGGATCTGCGTGAGGGGTGGCACCGAATTTCAGAAATGTGGCAAATCCCTGTGTTTTTGGACCCTGACCCCGCGGATCTGCGTGAGGGGTGGCACCGAATTTCAGAAATGTGGCAAATCCCTTGTGTTTTTGGACCCTGACCCCGCGGATCTGCGTGAGGGGTGGCACCGAATTTCAGAAATGTGGCAAATCCCTTGTGTTTTTGGACCCTGACCCCGCGGATCTGCGTGAGGGGTGTCGATTTCGAGCCCTCCCAGCAATTCAGACAACGCGCCCAGGGGGTGCTAAAAAGCCGGTTTGGGCCTCCCGTTACAGTAACCAGCAATAAGTCAACTAGTTACAGTAACCAGCAAGAAGCAGAACTGTAACACTGGAAACTACAAGCTACAACTGGTACAGGAAACTGCGAATTACGGGCCTACAGCCTGGTGGCCCCACAAGGGGGCCGGCGGATTTCAGACACCGTCGACATTTCAACAAACTCAAGAGGGGAAAAAACACACAGACACAATTAATCATCGATTCCCCCGAAAAGTTAGGAACATATGGGTAGTGGGGGGGAAGACAAAAACCCATAAAATATAGGACAATTTGGGGATTAGTTTATGTGTGTGTGTATTTATTTGTGTGTCCCAGGGCCCCTTCACAAGCAGCGATCGGCCGAAAGGGCGTGCAAGTGTGTCCCAGTTTGCGCGACGTCTAGGTTCGGCGTCGGGCCTCGCAGCGCCCCTCCCCCCTTTTCCATGCAGGTAAACTGGTCAGAACCCGAAGGGTAATTAAGCCTTTGCCACAAAACCCATGACATTAAGCCAAAACCCAGGGTAATTAACCCTTTGCCCCCATTGGTTTAACTCCCGGCGTGTCACATGACATTAAGTCTTTGCCACAAAAAAACCCAAAGGGTAACTGCCTCCCACCTGGGGTCCACGAAGAGCTACAGAGGCTCCCCAGGGATCGCCAGAGGTTCCTGGAAGCCTCTGGAAAATGCCAGTGGAGTGGAAGGAGGAGGAAGAGGAGGAGGAGGAGGAGGCGGAGTTGAGAGGGGAGAGAGGGAGGCAGGGAGCCACACGTTGCGCTACACGTGGATGCTTATTTTCGACTTGTGTTGAGCTATACGTTGGGCAGGTACGATGATCCAGGCGGAAGGGAGGGAGAGGGGCGGAGGGAGAGGTAGGCAGGGAGGGGGGAGTGATGCACACATGGACCACCCGCCGCCCGGGTCGCGCCCGGACCCCGGACTCCGGACCCCGGACCCCGGATCCCGGACCCCGGACCCCGGACCCCGGACCCCGGACCCCGGACCCCGGCCCCCGGAGCCCGGACCCCGGAGCCCGGACCCCGGAGCCCGGACCGGAGGACCCTGGACCCTGGACCCCGGACCCCGGACCCCGGACCCCGGACCCCGGACCCCGGACCCCGGACCCCGGACCCCGGACCCCGGACCCCGGACCCCGGACCCCGGACCCCGGACCCCGGACCCCGGACCCCGGACCCCGGACCCCGGACCCCGGACCCCGGACCCCGGACCCCGGACCCCGGACCCCGGACCCCGGACCCCGGACCCCGGACCCCGGACCCCGGACCCCGGACCCCGGACCCCGGACCCCGGACCCCGGACCCCCCCGGACCCCGGACCCCGGACCCCGGACCCCGGACCCCGGACCCCGGACCCCGGACCCCGGACCCCGGACCCCGGACCCCGGACCCCGGACCCCGGACCCCGGACCCCGGACCCCGGAGCCCGGAGCCTGCACACCCCTGCATGTAGACGGCCCAAGACAGGAGTAGACACTCGTAACACTTCGAACTTCCCGCTGAGGCGCCGTGCACACAGTATCTACAAATATCTATTCTTCAGGAATGGACGCTTTCCGAAATGACTGTGCTCCCGCCGAGGCGCCGTGCACACAGTATCTAAAATTATCCCGGCAAAGCAACCTAACAGCGATGTGTAGAAGCATATATGGAAGCATTCCCCTTAAGATTCAGATGAGCATCCAGTTGTAGAGTTCTGCTGTTCTCGCAGTCCCAGTCGCATTCGCGATGACAGTCGCAGTGGCAGCGGCAGTCGCAGTCACAGCCTCAGCCTGCCTCAGTATCAGCCTGCCTCAGCCTCAGCCTCAGCCTGCCTCAGCCTCAGCCTCAGCCTGCTTCAGCCTCAGCCTCAGTCTGCCTTCAGCCACAGCCTCTGTGCCTCAGCCTGCCTCCTCAGCCTGCAGCCTCAGCCTCAGCCTCAGCCTCAGCCTCAGCCTGCCTCAGCCTGCCTCAGCCTCAGCCTCAGCCCTCAGCCTCAGCCTCAGCCTGCTTCAGCCTCAGCCTCAGTCTGCCTTCAGCCTCGGCCTCAGCCTCAGCCTGCCTCAGCCTCAGCCTCAGCCTCAGCCTCAGCCTGCCTCAGCATCAGCCTGCCTCAGCCTCAGCCTCAGCCTGCCTCAGCCTCAGCCTCAGCCTGCTTCAGCCTCAGCCTCAGTCTGCCTTCAGCCTCGGCCTCAGCCTCAGCCTGCCTCAGCCTCAGCCAGCCTCAGCCTCAGCCTCAGCCTCAGCCTGCCTCAGCCTCAGCCTCAGCCTGCCTCAGCCTCAGCCTCAGCCTGCTTCAGCCTCAGCCTCAGTCTGCCTTCAGCCTCGGCCTCAACCTCCGCCTGCCTCAGCCTCAGCCTGCATCAGCTTCAGCCTCAGCCTCAGCCTGCCTCAGCATCAGCCTGCCTCAGCCTCAGCCTGAGCCTGCCTCAGCCTCAGCCTCAGCGTCAGCCTGCTTCAGCCTCAGCCTCAGTCTGCCTGCAGCCTCGGCCTCAGCCTCAGCCTGCCGCAGCCTCAGCCTGCATCAGGCTCAGCCTCAGCCTCAGCCTGCTTCAGCCTCAGCCGCAGACTGCCTTCAACCTCGGCGTCAGCCTCAGCCTGCCGCAGCCTCAGCCTGCATCCGCCTCAGCCTCAGCCTCAGCCTGCCTCAGTATCAGCCTGCCTCAGCCTCAACCTCAGCCTGCTTCAGCCTCAGCCTCAGCCTGCTTCAGCCTCAGCCTCAGCCTCAGCCTCAGCCTTCTTCAGCCTCAGCCTCAGTCTGCCTTCGGCCTCGGCCTCAGCCTCAGCCTGCCTCAGCCTCAGCCTGCATCAGCCTCAGTCTCAGCGTCAGCCTGCCTCAACATCAGCTCGCCTCAGCCTCAGCCTCAGCAAGCCCCAGTCTCAGCCTCAGCCTGCTTCAGCCTCAGCCCCAGTCTGCCTTCAGCCTCAGCCTCAGCCTGCTTCAGCCTCAGCATCAGCCTGCCTCAGCATTCAACATGTGGCCCGGGAGAAGAGTTCTGGGAACTCGAAGAACACGAAGTGGCCTACAGCTGGCTCCAGGCATTCAAAATCATGCCCAGGACTGAAATTCTGGGAACTCGAAGACCACGAAATGGGTTACAGTTGGCTCCGGGCATTCATAATGTGGCCCGGGAATGGAATTCTGGGAACTCGAAGCGCACGAAGTTGCCTACAGTTGGCTCCGGGCATTCAAAATCATGCCCAAGACCGGAGTTCTGGGAACCTGAAAAACACGAAATGGCTTACAGGTGGCTCCGGGCATTCAGAATGTGGCCAGGGAATAGAATTCTGGGACCTCGAAGACCACGAAGTGTGCAACTGTTTGCTTAAAGCGACTTCCGCGGATCCCTGTCCGGATGCCGCCCAGACCGCCTCTGGGGAGTCATGATGCTCTCTTTCGGCCCTCTTAGACACCTATCAATCTTCGCTGTTGGGTAAAAAACATACTTCGCGCGATCCGACTCAAGTTCGTTGTCATTTGGCTACGCACGGCGCGCGCCACAAATAGACACTCCCAGTATCTATTTGTTGTCTACTGGGGCCCGGACCCCGCACCCCGGACCCCGGACACCGGACCCCAGACTCCGGAACCCGGACACCGGACTCCGGACCCCGCGCCCCGGACCCCGGACCCCGGGCCCGGACCCCGGAGCCCATATTCCAGACCCCGCACCCGAAGGAGGAGGAGGAGGAGGAGGAGGAGGAGGAGGAGGAGGAGGAGGAGGACGCCGAGGGCGCCGAGGAGCCGCAAGAGGCGGAAACCAAGGGTGGCGGCGACGGCCGCTCTCGCATCCGGCGCAGCGGCACCGCCGGCCTCTGGGAACACCAGGAGCAGCGCTCGCCGATCCGGCGGTCTAGTCGCCGCGGAGGACCCCGCGAAGGGCCCCTCCTGAGCTCGCGCGGCCCTGCCCCGGCCCGGCCCCAATGTCACCATGTCTAGAGTACACCTGGCACTAGAACAACTCGTGCTAGCGTGCGCCTTGGCAAAGACCCCGACCGCGGGCCCCGGTGGTACCAGACCCCGGACAGTCCGGACCCTGCAGACCCCGGACATCCGACCCCCGACCCCGGACCCAGGCCCCCGGACACCATGACCCTGGACCCCGGACCCCAGACCCTGGACCCCGGACTCCAGACCCTGGACCGCGGACCCCGTTCGTGGCCCCCCGGAGAGAAGCGAAAGCTATTCTTTTTTCGACGCAATCTCCAAAACGGGCGCGGCACCGCCGTGCCACAACCGAGCCGCGCTTCGAGTTCAGTCCCCGCTCGTGTGGGTGAGGTGAGGAGCCGAACCCTTGAACAGAGCCTCGTTGTGCGCCATGCACATCTCCTGCAAGAAAAACTTAAACCCCCATTCGCTCATGTGTTTCGTTTGATGCTTGTACTGGCTCATCCATGTGAATGTAAATTCACACACAGACGTGCGCACGCCCTCGACCAGCGTCTTCAAGTGAGGGGCGGCTGGGTTGCAATTCGCTTTGCACCACGCATCGGTGTGCCCACTCATGTGAAAAGCGTCGCAGATGTAAGAGATCGCTGGAGGAGCCAGACGCGCGGCCTGCGGGGAATCGGACGCCCGGCGCTCCGTGAACCTGTGCAAGTGGCACGCGTCGTCGTGAACGACAACAGCCAACTCAGGGAACGTATCTGCGATCGCAGAAATAAACAAATCCGCCACCGTGCCTTCAGCACGCAGTGGAATGCCCCAAGACTCCTGCATCCCTGAGCTCATGCAGCCCTGATACTGCTCAGTCGGGAAGGGCTCTGCCCCCCAGTTCCACGCGCTCTCGCGCGTTTCTGGGCTTTTATGGAATTCGTCGCGTGTGTTTTCGGGACGGCCCCCTCGCCTAGGAGGGCCCCCGAACGAGCCCACAAAGCTTGAGGAAGCCGCAGCACGGCCCAAACATCGCTTCAGGACGCCAAGGATGGCCCCCAGACGGCCCCAGAGGCTTCCCAAAAGCCCCACTCAGCCCCCAACAGCTCTCCCGAAGACGGCCCGAGAAGCTACATTTTATTACTTTGCGTTTTTTTCTTGCATGTGGCCTTGTCGCCCTCTCGGTTTTCCTACGCGCGAAAACGATTCCAGAGGCCCAACAAATCACCCGAAGATGGCCCAAGAGGCCCGCAAAAAGGCCCCAAGACGGCCCAAGAGGGCCCCAAGACGGCCCCAAGACGGCCCAAGACGGTCCAAGAGGCCCCCGAGAGGCCAATCGCGAGATCACCACCAACACACATATGAGCCATCCGACCCACCACCCGGGCATCGTGGCGGGATGGGCCGAAGGCAATTGGATACCTTTGGCTCAAGGATTCGCAGCCAAACATTTCCCGCATGGACACGACGATACCAGAGGACAGGCAAGCGCATAGTACGCCGGCGGTCCGTGCGCACTTCGCCTGCTGCGAGTCGTCCTCCTTATGGGTGTTGCACGCCACGGCCTTCAGGTCGGCCTCGCACGACATCTCCGAAAGGAGCTGCTCCCGCTCCACCGGCGTGAGGGCATCCCACGCAGGGGCCGCGGCGTCGAGTTGACGACGCACCTCGCTGGCCGCCGCCCGTCTCCACCTGGCCTTTGCCCCCCGCCGGCCCGCGCTGGCCGCTCTGCGATCTTCCCCGAGACCGTGGAAGTAGACGTTCACGATGCCCGGGTCCACGGCCGACTCCGACACCCACAGCTCCCTGAGTTCGCCCCGGCGCTCACGCACCAGCAATTTCAACGAGCCGTCCAAACCCATGCCCCCCGCCTCGGGCGCCTCGTGCCCCACCACCTCGTAGTCCTCGGCCGGGCACTCGCAGGGCACGCCGTGCTCTCCACAAAACGCACTGCCCAGCAGCGGCGTCCGGGGGCAGCCCACGCACACCCGCCGAGCTAAGCGCGGGCACGTCACACAGTGGCGCAGAGGCGCTGCGCACGTCAGCCTGCGATTCTTGGCGTTGCCATCCACCACAACCACATCGGTCTTCATGCCTGCTGCTCGGGCCCTCTCTGCGGTTCTACGCTCGAACGTTAATTCGAGCTGGTCCCACGTGTCCTTGATTTGGTCTTCAAGTGGCTGCATCAAGTCGATCACAGTGGTGTCATCAGGGCCCAAATCGCCGACGCGCCTGGCCAACCGCCACACGAACCAGCCTTTCGACAGGTACTTCCGCAAATTGGCTGGCAACGCAGTTCCACCGGCACGGGCGCGCGCCACGTCAGCTTCGCCGGCAAAAGATACGTGTTCCCTCAGCATTCGCTCGTGCAAGGCTTCCAGGTACTCCGTTGTGATCCCGAAGCTCGCGGTAAGCATGATGCATTTCATGGCCGCAACGTCCCCGTGGAAAATGTGCCGTCCAGCGTCCACGTAGTAGTTGTGCCAATGTACCAAACCGCGCTTTGGACAGTCCACCGAATTGCAGCGGTAAGGGACGTGAGTCTTACAAACGGGACCGCCCACGTCCAAGACGATGGCATCTGATCCAGAGCCTGGCCGCTTCACCATTCGCTTGTCGCACACAGGGCACTTGTCCGAAATGTGCAATAAATCGCCAGGGCTTTCCTCCCCGCCAAAAAACGGGATGTCAGGGCGCGCGCCAGCAGAGACCAAGGCCGAAACCAAATGGTCACGGGCAGGCCCCGATAAGAGACAGGCTGGGTCTCCAGACTCCACTGTCCTCCGCAACCACGCAGCGCACTGGCCAACACTCCGATTGCCATGGCGGCTTTCAGTGGCAGCCGAAAAGTCAAAGGCTGGGACCTGCAAGGCGGGCGCCCCTGCCGTGTCGAGCATCCGAAGGCTAGGGCGCGGTCCCGGCGGAGCTCGAGGAGGATGTCCCGGTGGAGGGACGCGCTGGGGAAGATGCGCTGGTAGAGGAAGGTGTTGGGGAGGATGTACTGGCAGAGGAAGGCGCTGGTTCTCCGTCGGGCCCTCGCTGGACGAGGCCTGGGCGGAGGGGGGGCCGGACAGGTTCATCCTGCCGCGCGGTCGCCTCGAGCCCCTTGATGGCGTCCAAGACCTGCTCCACGGTGATCTCGGACAGGCGCCCTTCCAGGATGGCTTGGATGGTCTGGCACTTGGACTCGTGCTTGGCGCCCAAGTACCGCGCCCTCTTCACCGCAGCTTCGAACTGCTTGTCGGCAGAACGCTTGTGTGGCATGCGGTGCGGTACAACGCAAGGCTCTTAACCTGCGATTTCACGGGGCCGCCAGGCGTGCGGGTCCCAGCAGGGAAGCACGATGACGACGATCTGACGGTCTTGAGCCAAAATGGCGGCGGCGCTTTGCCGTTGCCTCTGGCCCCTCTCTTCTGCTGCTCTCTACGCTCGTGGTCAACAGTCTTTGCACACTGACGTTCATAAGACGGCAGAAGGCGCACGCGGGGCATGCCCCTAACCGGGGGGCGGTCCTGGAAGGCGCCCGCGGGGCACACGCCCAGGACCGCCCCACGCTTAACATGCACTAACATAACTCTGCGTGATGAGTACCCCACTATCGCCCGATAGAGGCCCAACGGGGGCGCCCCAAGGCGGCCCCCGTAGCGCCCCTAAGGGGCCCCCGTTAGATCTGGGCGAGAGGATTGATATTGGGCGACATCGCAGCGCTGACAGGCGGCGCTTTGCCGCTGCCTCTGGCCACTCCCTGCTGTTGCTCCTACGCTCGTGGTCCACAGTCTTTGCACACCTACGTTCATAAGACGGCAGAAGGCGCCCGCGGGGCACGCTCCTACCCGGGGGCGGTCCTGGAAGGCACCCGCGGGGCACGCGCCTAGAACCGTCCCACACTTAACATGCAAGTAAATAGCTCTGTGTGATGAGTGCCCCACTATCGCCCGATAGAGACCCAACGGGGGCGCTCCAAGGCGGCCCCCGTAGCGCCCCGAAGGGGCCCCCGTAAGATCCGGACAAGAAGATTGACATGTAGCGACATCGTAGCGCTGACAGGCGGGCACCGCCAACGAACCATGACTGCTGGGGCCTTCATTTTTTCATAGCGGGCGCGACGAACCGTGACTGCACATGTGCAACGAACGCAGTCCTACTTACGAGGACGTTGAGATATCCGACTGTTCCTAACCATATACTGTATGCGTGCCACCAACGCAGTCTTGCTTACGAGGACGCCACGCAAACCCGCGCGCACATACCTCGCCGCCTGCCCACGCACGCAAAGCTTACACTTTGCAGCACCCGCCCCAGGGGAGAGCGGCGGCGGCACAGGCTTGGCTGCCGGCGCGAATATCGCTCTACGCATCTCGGGTCCCCGGTCCGACCGGGCACTCATGACTCCCTCCGCTGGCTGCGACTGCGAGCACGGACTGCCTCTGCCCGACCGCGCTCCCTCCGATCGCTGTTCTCCTTTGCCTTCCTCATGGCCTCCACAAGGTCTCGCAGTGGAAGGGCGCACAAGCGCATCAAAGCATTGTGGTAAGCCACCCGGTCCGCCTGGCCCCCGGGGATGCGCGCGACATGGATCTCGCGACCATCCAGGCGCGCCACAGGGCTCCCCTGCAGCCCAGCCTCCATCACGCGCAGCCACGTCTGCTCTGGGAGGTGCTTCGGCCGCTGGCCTCCCCTCCTCGATGACTTCATCCGCTCGCAAGCGGCGCGCATGGTGACGGTCGGGGTGCCTACGAGCAGCGTCCTCCGCATGATGTTGCGGTCGGTGAGGCCCGCGGCGTGGAAGGGGCCGTCTTGAACGCTGCTCCCATCGGCCCCGTAGCCGAAGTCCAGCCCTTTCACGTCCTCCAACACCAGGATGCCAGGGCCGCTCGTTGGGCCACCCCCGGGGGCGCCCTCACGGGCCGCCTGGGCAGACGCCTCGTCGGCGCTCACGTCGCCAATCTCGCCGCCAGGGGACCCGGGCTCCTCCCGTGAGTTCGCGAGAGACACGGCGTCGTCATCTCCCGCAAGCTCCCCCTCCCTTGCCCCGCCCCTGGAGACGCCGCCGTGGGCGCTGGCTTCGCTGGCAGCAGGAGGTGCATCCACGGGCGGGCGATCCGCGCGCGCGTGCTGGCTCGCGGACCACAAGCCGTCGAACGCGCCCTGCGAGGACGCGATGAACGCAGCGAGCTCCACCCGGCGCTGCTCCGCTGTGTCTGCATCCGCTGCCGCTGGCTCCGGTTCCTCCTCCGTGCTCGCTGCGGCTACCTTCAACAAGTGGACCACTTTCAACAGGGAGGCCGCGCGCTCGACGTGCTCCTCCTGCGGTGCAATCTTCCTCGAGGTGTACTCCTCGGTGTCGTCGTACCTGCCGCAGAAGATGTCGAATCCGCCGACCCCCGGTTGCCTGGGATGAAAAGGCGCATGAGACATTTGGCTGTCCCCCTCCCCCTTCCCCCCTCCCCGGGGGACAAAAAAACGTTTCAATGGGGGGTCCTGCTCCTGAACGCACCCGGGGTGGCCCTGGAGCTTCCAAATGGCTCCCACAACGGGCCAAGAGAGCCCCAAAAGGCCCCCAAGACGCTCCAAGAGAGCCGCGAATGGCCGAACGATCGCTCCAAGACGCCCAAGATGGCCTCCAAGGCCCATGCTCGCTCATTGATTTCTCTTTGATGTTTGAAAGTTTTTGGCGCTCTTGCCATTTCGGCTTTCCGACGCCCGAAAACGGCCCAAGAGGCCCCCATGATCGGACCAAGACCGTCCAGAAGGCCCCAGAGACGGCCTGGGGACCGCCCGAGAGGGCCCTAAGACGGTCCAAGAGCAGCCCAAAACAACCCAACGGGGCACGAAGACGGCCTAAGAGAGGGAGGGCGCGAACCGAACATATTAGTTTCCCCCACCGAGAGGGCCCAAGGAGGCCCCATGAGGGCCCCAAGAACCCCCCAAGAGCCCCACACGAGGCCCCAAAACGGCTTCGAAGAGGTTGCAAATCTTGCTCCAAGAAGCCCCCGAGAGGCCTACCACGAGATTCCAACAAACAGTCAAGAGGCCTCTGACCCACCACGCAGGTACGGTGGCGGGATGGGCCGAGGGCCAATAGATCCGCCGCCCCCTGCTTGCAGGGGTGCGCGGCGTGCTGGACGTTTCAGGTTTTGGTTTTGGTTCTTTTTCTAAAAAAACTCCCCAGTGGGCTTCGGCCCGTCCCGCCGGCCACGCGTAAATTCCCGAACATCCGTCTGTCAATGCCCAAAAACGGCCGTTTCGCTCGGGACATCCTCAAAAAATCGCGAAGATGGCCCAAGATGGCCTCCAAGTCCGCCCGAGATGGTCCAAGACGGCCTCCAAAACGGCCCAAGAGAGTCCAAGACGGCCCAAGACGGCCCAAGAGGCCCCCCAGAGGCCTCCCAGACGGCCCAAGAGGCCTCCAAGAGGTCCTCCAGGAGAGTCCGATTGATTGGTTTTTGAAGGATTTTGGCATTTGCGCCTTTTCGGCTCTCCGACGGCTCAAGACGGCCCAAGAAGCCCCCAAGATCGCCCAAGAGGCCCCCAAGAGAGCCCCATGATGGCCCAAGTGGCCTCCAAGATGGCCCCTAGAGGGCCCCAAGAGGGCCCAAGAGGCCTCCAACACGCCCAAGATGGCCTCCCAGACGCCCAAGATGGCCTCCAAGACGGCCCTGGAGCATTCCAAGCGGGCCCCAAGTCGGCCCATAGAGGCCCCCCAAACGGCTTCCGACGGCTTCAGACGTGCCAGGAACCCACCAAGATGGCCGAAGTTGGCTCGAAGCTGGCCCGAGACGGCCCAAAAAGCCCCAAAGATCGCCCAAAGCTTGCCCAAGAGGCCTCCAAGACGGCCAAGATGACCTTCAAGATGCCCACGTGTTCCCCGAAGGCTTTCCAAACCGATTCGGGGAACACGTGGTCCGATAGCTTGGCAGGTCTGGCCTCAACGTTCGGCCACATAGGCGCTTCCAAAAAGGCAGGGGGCGGCGGTGATTCGCCGTAGGCGTCTTCGATCCGCCGCCCCCTGTGGTCGTGCCACAGGGGTGCACGGCGTGCTGGATGTTTCAGTTTTTTTTTTTTTTTTTTTTTTTTTTTCTAAAAGAACTCCCCAGTGGGCTTCGGCCCGTCCCGCCGGCCACCCGTAATTTTCCCAAAATCCGTCGGTCAATGCCTTTGTTGCCCCAACTTGGCCCAAGATGGCCTCCAAGACGGCCAAGATGGCCCAAGATGGCCTCCAAGATGCCTCCCAGACGGCCAAGATGGCCTCCAAGACGGGTAAGATGGCTCCAAGATGCCTCCAAGACGGCCCAAGATGCCCTCCAAGACGGCCAAGATGGCCCCAAGATGCCTCCAAGATGGCCCAAGAGGCCTCCAAGACGTTCTCCAGGAGAGCCCGAAGAGGCCAAAATCATTGGTTTTCCTTAGGTGTTTGAAGGTTTTTTGCGTTTTCTTCTTTTCGGCCTTCCGACGGCCCAAGAGGCCCCAAGATCGCCCAAGAGGCCTCCAAGAAGGCCCTATGACGGCCCAAGGGCCCCCCAAGACGGCCCCAAGAGCGCCCCAAGACGGCCCAAGAGGCCTCCAAGACGCCCAACATGGCCTCCAAGACGGCCCTGAAGCGCCCCAAGAGGGCCCCAAGACGGCCCAGAGAGGCCCCCAAGACGGCTCCAGACGGCGTCAGACGGACCAGGAACGCCCTAAGACGGCCAAAGAGACCCCCAGGAAGCCCCCAAAGGCCCCCAAGAGGCCCAAGGAGGCCCCCAAGATGCCTCCAAGAGGCCTCGAAGAGGCCCCCAAGAAGCCCCCAACAGACCCCAAGGGTGCCCCAAGAGACTCCTAACAACCCTCATCCTCCTACTCTATTTCTTCCTCTTCCTCTTCCTGTTCATAATCATTCTCTCCCATGTGTTCCCCGAAAGTTTTCCAAACCGACTCGGGGAACTCATGGTCCGATAGCTTGGCCAAGCTCTAGTCCAACTTTCGGCCGCGTCGGCGTTTCCAAAAAGGCAGGGGGCGGCGGTGATTCGCCGTAGGCGTCTTCGATATGTTCCACGATCGTCGTGGCCCTCACTCCTTCTGTGGGCCGGCGGAATGGCGTAAGCCACTTGAATATGCACAGCGCCGACGCCAACTCCCCCAAGTGCCACGGCGCCGCACCCAGCGCGGCCCCGGCGTACTCGCGGCCCGCCTCTCGCTGCTTATAGCACATCACATTGAACGCCCCCTGGTACGATTGGTGCAGGGCGAGCGCTTCCACGGTCGGCTCCAACACTACGTGCGGCTTCTCGAAATACGTGGTCACGCGGGGCACGCACGTCTCTAGCGAGTGGTGCGCGGGCATCGGGAAAGATCTGTTGGCGACCAACCATTCCGGGCGAAACCCCGTGGGCGCCGAGGCGTCCCGCTGGAAGCGGACCTGTGTCTGCACGCCATCTGGCAAGGTTACCGAGAAGCCCTCGGCGTCGGGAACGTACACCTTCCCGTCGACCGTCTCAGAGGAAGCGGCGTCGTCCTCGCGCGGCCTGGCGGCCCTGGCCCACACGCGGGCGGCCTGGTCGGGGGACGCCGAACCGGCCACCAGCTCGAGCGCATCTGCCACTTCGGCCACCAGAGGGACCCACTTGTGCCGCAAAGTGCCCGCGGGCATTGCGTACGTGTCTGGCAAGGGGGCGTGCGGCTGCACAGGGCGCCCTGTGCTGATGAGAATCCTCTCTTTCGCGGCAGTGTGGTGCGACCCTGTCTCCCCGCGCTCCATGGGCACGTACGTCGAGAAGTGTACATTTCCTGAAATTTCCACAGACACTGTAGGCGCGTCCACCCGGCCGTAGGAGCCGGCAGTCTTGGTCGCCCTGGATGCTTGCCCATATTGCGCCAACTTGTTAAACGCACTTTGGAAGGCATTCACAGTGGTCTGCTTCTTCCCCGCCTTCTGCTCGTCCATGAAGTTGAAACTCGTGAGCATGTCGTATGCCTCGTCAGGGTTCACCAAGACGCCGTACACGTGACGGCCTCGCAGATCCACGCCGGGGAAGTTCTCCGCGTCTAGGACCTGCTGGTAGTCCCCGGCGCAACGGTGGAAGAATTCTGTTGGCGTCGCCGTGTGCAGGACGCAGGACGCAACTTGCGGCTGCCGCGGGGGATCCGCTGCACCACTGGGGTCCGCGGCGTCAGGATTCCGACGACGACGGCCCCCTTCATCACGTGGTGGTGCCCCCTGCATATCTCCTACGACGGACGCTGCTGCCAGGACTTTCTGCGCCACAACATCCCGAGCGACCTGGTCCAGCTTGTCCCCGAAGCTGTCGCCGTTCCCAGTGATGGATGACTTTCTCGTCTGGGCGAAATTCACGTTCAGGACCATCAAGAACATGGGGCTGTGAGCGCGGGGGAACCACGCGCTTTTGGCGCCGTTGCTAAGGGCGCACATCATTGCAAGAAAATGCATGACGTAAGGAAGCACAGGGTGTGCAGCCCTGATGCTGTACGTTTGGATGAGCTCGTACCCGCGCTGCGTGAGCACCGTCGCTGGGTCGAAGAACTTGTCAACGATGTCCCACATTGCTTTGCTCACATTCAAAAACTTCTTGCCGTTTGAACCGTCCGCCATCTGCCAAGCGAGGCCACGGAAGTTCCCGCGGGCTCTGTTCCGTCACTTTGACCACAGCTACACTGAACGGCGCTTGGCCATCGAGCCGAAGGAAAAGGCGCGACGGCGGGAGGACACTGCTGCTGAACGATGGCGGGTGGGACGACCAGGAAGTTGTGGAGTCGTGGAACCAAGAACTGAACGGCGATCGGAGTTCAACCGTCACCTTCGGCCTCCTGGACCGGGGGGGCGCCCGCAGGCGGCACCGACGATCAAGGGATAGTCAGCTACCTCGTCGCCCAACGACTTGCCTCAAACCGAGAGGGCGTGGGGGTAGGGGGAAAATCGGTTCACCTCGCCACTGCCAAATACTTCCCGACCATCAACCCCTGCTCAATCGGCTGGCATGCGCAACTGGGTTTGTTTTCCAGGGTGAGCGGGCGCAAGGCCACTATGGGACTTACGGACCATACGGCCCCTCCTCCCAACCAAGTGCGCTATCCCCCATGCCTGATACCCATCTCCAGGTCACGGGGTGTGGCAAGCGCCGCTGCCGCGGGCAACGTGCCACGTGGTTGGTGCGAAAATCGAGAGCCGGTCTAGCTGCCCCCAGTCGCCGAATGCAGTCGATTCTGACAGTGTGCCCCAAGGAATGTGTGGCGTTGACACCATGAGAACAGGTGCCTGGCCCCCACCCTCGGTTGCCCTTTCAGCTGGTGGCCCACGAGGCTGAGTTCGTGGCCTGAACCTGAACCACTTCAGAAGCCCCCGCCGACGCCCGAAATGCGCCAAAAGCGCCCAAACACGCAATCGTGTCACAGGAGCGCGGGCCGCCAGCTCGACCTTCCCACTTGTTTGCGTTGGGTGGGCAATGAAGGCCGCTGAGCAGCCTTTGGGCCGCTCCTTCCCCAAGCGGGCGCCTGAGGAAGGTGCGGCCTTTCTCCTACGGGGCGGAACGGCGCAGCCGTTCACATAACTAAACGGAATTGTATATACTCTGCTTTCGTCGAGCCCGAGAACTCGCACCTCCTCCAGCTTCCATGGGAACCCGCCAGACTTCCGCCGAGGACCCAGGGTCGGCTCCCAGAATGAAATTTACAATATACACTAACTTCAATGCGGGCGCGTTACGTTAGAGGGAGGGACATCAAGGAGAAGAGGCCGGCGAGGGGGGGGCTGTGCCCATCCGAGGGAACGGGGCAGCCCCCCCCTCCCAAAAAAACGTTTCGGCCCACCAAGGCCTTCCCCGCTCCGCGAATCCCATTGGGGGGTCGGGATCCCCGCTCTGCAGTGGGATTCGCGGAACGGAGCGCCCCCCCAGGTGCCTCTTATCTTCGCGCTGGCGCCGGCAATTCGCACCCAGGGGGGCGTGGGTTGAAATGAGTGGGGGAGCAGGAAGGATGTGGACTGGCGTTCGGCTCTGAAGCGCCCTCACAATCCGGCAAAACCGCAACCCCTCCCAGGGGGCACCGCGCGTGCTGGACCAGGCACATGCGGCGCCCTATGTCGGCGCGCACATGTGAAAGGCCCATGTTTGTGTGTCTGTCGGAAAAACGCCGCCCACGTCCCCTTCCCTTGACCGCGCTGCGCGGCTGGAGGGGGGATATCGCGCTCCCCGGCCGGCCCGAGGGCAAGGCCAGCCCGACTTGGCGCAGGCGCGACCGGTACTTGGGATCTCGCCTCGGACGCGGGCGGACACGGCATACGCACTGCTCTCGGCACGGCGCTGCTCGCCACTGCGAAACTTCGCGACCATCAACCCCTGCTCAATCGGCTGACATGCGCCACTGGGTTTGTTTTCCAGGGTGAGCGGGCGCAAGGCCAACGTGGGACTTACGGACCACACGGCCCCGCCTCCCAACCAAGTGCGCAATCCCCCACGCTTGATACCCATCTCCAGGTCACGGGGTGTGGCAAGCGCCGCTGCCGCGGGCAACGTGCCACGTGGTTGGTGCGAAAATCGAGAGCCGGTCTAGCTGCCCTCAGCACGGCATACGCACGGCTCTCGGCACGGTGCCCAGCACCGCACACAGCACAGCACCTGGCACGGCACAGCACGACAACACCCTGCCACATAACATGGAACCTAAGGCGGCCCCGAACCACACGCCCATCAGAACCCGAAGGGTGATTCTTCAAGGGAGGCCTTGCCTTGAAGGGCGGGAGCTCTTTCAAAATGGACTTATCGCTTGAGCTCCCTTTGAGGCTTTCCGGAGGTGTCCCAGGGAGGGGCGCCGTGCGAGGCCGTCTGGGGGCTGAGGGGGCAACTAGAGAAGGCCACAGGATGAGGTTGAGGGCGGCTCCTTTTTCAAAATGTGGTCTTCGATTGAGCTCCCTTTGAAGTCCGCCAGAGGTGTCCCAGGGAGGGGCGCCGTGCGAGGCAGGGCCCGAGGCTTCTGGGGGCTGACGGGGCAACCAAAGAAGGCCACAGGATGAGGTTGAGGCCGGATTCGCCGGATCTCGCTGGCCGGATTCGCCGGATCTCGCCGGAGTCGCCGGATCTCGCCTGAAATTGAACAGGGGGGCGGTGGGCGGGCCCACTCCCTCACGGGTCAGGATGACGTGAGTTCCACAGAAACTCCACCACCTCACCTAACTTGGGAGTCCGGCTGTTGGCTACACTACTGGACAGTCTTCGGCGCGAGGAGAAAATCAATCAGCCGAAGACTTCAGAGGAGGGGGGGCAGAAAGGCACACGAGGAGGACGAGGAGGACGAGGACCAGGCAGATGTTGACCCCTCCAAGCTCAGACTTCCTTTCATCCGCGATCTGGCGACATGACAACTCACCACCGCGCCGAGAAGGTGTGGATGAGCCCGCCCTCCTCCTCCTCCTCGTCCTCCTCCTCCTCCTCCTTTTCCTCCTCCTCCCTCCCCTCCCTCCCACCCTCCCTCCCTCCCTCCCTCCCTCCTTCAGGTGCGCGCGTGCTAATCGATGATGTCCCCCACTTTAATGTCCCGTCCGTCCGCCCGACCCGCCCGACCCCGGACCCCGGACCCCGGACCCGGACCCCGGACCCCGGACCCCGGAACCCGGAACCCCCAGGCCTCACACCCCGGCCCCCGGACCCCCGACCCCGGACCCCGGACCCCGGACCCCGGGTCCCGGACCCCGGACCCCGGACCCCGGACCCCGGCCCCCGGACCCCCGCCGGACCCCGGACCCTGGACCCCGGACCCCGGACCCCGGACCCCGGACCCCGGACCCCGGACCCCAGACCCCGGACCCCGGACCCCGGACCCGACCCCTGACCCCGGCCCCCGACCCCAGACCACCGACCCCGACCCAGACCCAGACTCCGGACCCTCCGGACCCCGGACCCCGGACCCCGGACCCCGGACCCCGGACCCCGAACCCCGGACCCCGGCCCCCCGGACCCTCCGTGACCCCGGACCCCGGACCCCGGACCTCCGACCCCGGACCCCTGGACCCCTGACCCCAGACCCCGGAGAGCCCGAGCCGGACCCCTACCCCGACCCCGGACCCCGGACCCCGGACCCCGGACCCCGGACCCCGGACCCCGGACCCCGGACCCCGGACCCCGGACCCCGGACCCCGGACCCCGGACCCCGGAACTCGGACCCCGGACCCCGGACCCCGGAGCCCGGGCCCCGGACCCCGGACCCCGGACCCCGGACCCCGGACCCCGGACCCCGGACCCCGGACCCGGACCCCAGACCCGGGCAGCCGGAGGACCATAAGTCGAGTGATGATGGACGGGGGAGCGATATGAACGGGGAGGCAGAGGGAAGGAAGGAGGAAGGAGGATGAGGACAGAGAAAGGAAGGCGGGAACAGCAGACATCGGAGGCAGCAGGAGAAAGGAGGAGAAGGAGGAGGAGGAAGAGGAGGAGGAGAAGGAAGAGGAAGAGGAGCCTACTGCGCAGTCTCAGGGTTTCCATCGAGCGGGGTATTCAGATGATTCCCGCTCGTCTTATTGCTCGCTCTCGCCGTCCCTGGTGCCCTTCCCCTGCCCTGCCCCATCGTCCAGGAGACTAGGGATCAGGTTCAGAACCACGCGCATCTATGCCAAACATGTTTGCGGACACACTGCGCAGCGTGTGCAGCGGAACAGCAAGTAATTAGTTAACCGTCATCGGTAGGACCCCAGTCCTTCAAAAAGACCGCCGAGAAAAGAAATCATTAGATATCCCTTATTGCGGGGGGTCGAAAGACCTTTCAGGGTTAGCATGAGTCAGCATTTGCGGTCGAGCCGAGCCCAAAGATCCGATGACTAACGTCAGTATGGAATTGTTTTGTGAATGCCAGTGGCCTTCTGCCAATCCCGCCACCGTGCGTGGGTCTTGGATGCATTCTGGAGGGCTCGTTTGGGCCCCTTAGGTGCCTCTGGGGGCATGTTGGGGGCGTCTGTGGTGCCTCTTGGGGTTGTTTCGGAGGCCTCCTGGGGGCTTCATTGGGGCCTGATGGCGGTCTTGGAGGCATCTTTGGGCAGAAGTTTCCCAGCGTCAGTTCGCGTTCCTCCTTTGGGTCTCTCCAGGTGGCCTCTTAGGGTCGTCTTGGCGCGGTTGGTGCCATCCTGGGCCTGTCTGGTGGCCTGGGTCGACTTGGGTCCATCGAGTGTCTGTAACCCCGCATGGACCTTCTTGGCAGACGCTGGCAGGCTCGTCGCGTCGTTTGGGCCGGCTTCACCGTTCCAGTGGCCGACGCGGCACACCCCAGGAGCACCCAAGCGCAGTTAGGAGCGCCTGGAGATTTTTTGGGGTAATCGTGGCCCAGGTCCTTAATTTTCTGACTGGCACAAGGCGTGGGGCACTCCAGGTCGTGTTGAAGGCACGGTGGCGGATTAGTTGTGCTTGTGCAGCCGTTGCGTGCCGTCTTCGTGTCGGTGTGCAGTGTTGTGGCCAGGTAACGTTCTGAATCGTCGTGTTCTCAGTCTTCTGTTGTTGTTTCTCTCGGCTCCATTCAGACAGAAGAGGAACGCGTGCACTCCTCGCCAACAGCGAGCGCTTCGACTCTCAATTCACTTTGACAACAACGGTTTCACCACCACGCAGCTTCAAC